TCCTAGATAAATCATCAATAGTGAACAAATGAGTGTTTTCAATTAGATCTTTTTTATTTTTATATATAAATTTCAATAAGAGAGACAGAGAAAAAAAAGAAAAAATATTTTTATAATTATGATATTGTGCAGTTGTTTTCCTTTTTCTAGAAAAGTAAAAAATCAATGATAACAAACCTAATTCCATTCTATTTACCGTTTTGTTAGTTACACTTTGAGATTTACTGTGATTGACGTCCGAAGATGGAGCGGCAATCACACCATATTCATTGTCATGTACAGTGCGCAAATTTTGATCGCCAAGCGGTTGATCAAACCATCGACGATTAGCTACCACACTTGATCGCTGTCCGAAATTAGGCGTCGGATCACTATTAGTAAATGTTGGTTTAGTACTCTAAAGAAAGTCAAAGTAGATACGACTTTTATGTGTAACAATTCAACCTGTTGCATGGACATTTGAACAGTTTTCCAACCTCCTGTTGAGTTTGCTCCTGCTGTACGTTGTGAGGGGAGAGTTTCGCCATCAGCATTTGAAAATTTCGCTAGCGTAAATTCAGCCGGTTGGTGTTCATTTGGATTATCGTAATGTGACTGTCTTCCTGATGATTGTATAGTTGGTAGTTTCAGCACAGGAATGCCATTCGGACCACCGTTTTGTGCTGGTGCATAGTCTGGATCTGCATATGCTTGACCTCGATAAACGGAACCTGGATTAGAGAGAATAAGTGATCTGGACACGGGACGGTCGACATCTACAATGAATAATCAGAAAAAGAAGAGAATTGGAATAGAAAATAGCGAGAAAGACGAACTTCGTCGCCGACGTGGTATTTCTTCTTCAGGTATGTGCCCATTTTTCGTGGCATAATAGATTTGTTCTCTGTTTGAATGTGGAGCATGTTGATTACGAGTAACAGCAGCGAGTGCGTCATCGTACGTAAAAGAGCTGGTTATTTCAGGTTTGATCTAGAGAGAAAAATAATCACAAATCGACTTCACACTGTCCGATAAGATCAATTTACCAATCGTCCGGAAGACGTTCGATAATAGATAGCTTCTTGGATGACTTCATAGTCGACAGCTGATGGATCATAGGTAAGAGCAAGTTCAGTTGAGGAAGGTTCTCTGGCATCTACTGCAACAGTTCTCGTCAGTGTTCCCCGTCGTTTTTGATGCGATCGAGATTGAATTGGGGATGACTGAATAGATTCATCGCGTTGTGAAATAGTTGACGCAGTATGTTTCGATTCATCGCGCCGTCCTCGTTGAACTACACGAGTGACTGCCGGTGGTGGAGTAACCTGAACGGATTCATTACGCTGTGTAACAGTTACAGTTGTATATTTATTTTCTTCACGTTGTCTTGCACGACCTCTCTGTTTTTCTTGCTGAAACTTCGGACTTGAGCGTATTGGCTCGGTATGTTGTGCAGCTGTTAATAGTGTTTGTTTTTTTTCGCTTTGTGATGGAGGAGATGCCATTTTATGTTGTTGTACTTTAACTTTAACTTTATATTGAGGATCTGGACAATCACACTGATGTAACGATTCCTGACCATTGACAGAGTGCGTTTCACGTTGAGATAAAGACGGTAGTGTAACTGATTTGCGTCGCTCACTTATTTTTCCATGTCGATGAGTCGAACACTTGCACCAATCGTAGGCAACTTGATCCAGCTTGAGGCGAACTTCACGTGGTGAAGGTTCTCCAGTGGCACTTATCGACTGTCGTCTGTCCATTAAATCCTTGTGATTGTGGTCTCTACATCGACACCAATCATAGACTAATTGATCTCCTTCGACACGTGATACATGATGTCGACAGTTACATGTTTGGACATTAGATTGTTGTAATGCTAAGATTTCCCAATGTTTCAGTTTGGTTTTCTTCCGTTTTGTACTATTTTGCTTTTTCATGCCATCTGATTTCGATGGTTTCATAGTAGCGTGATTGTTATCACTATCATAATTATAATTATTTTCATATACATCAAAGTCATCGTCATTTTTGTGATTGGAACTAACAGATTGGGATCTCTTCTTTTTCTCAAAACGATTTACCTAGAACGAAAATACGAGTGAAATAATTTATCATGTAGAAGAAGAATTTTCATACTTGTTTCAGTAACATGTCAGCTAACGGTTCGGGTAAAGCTGCTGGACCAAGAAATCTCGTCGGTATACCTTTTGTGGGTTCAATTTTAATTCTACATGAAAAAAAAGGCAATAGGTCTCACGTACATATCAAAATTCAGTAAAGATTACCGAACAAAACTAACTCTATTCTGTTTATTAGGATCAGTACTATTATCACCATCACCTTCATCTCCATGATAGTGACCCGGATGTTGTTCCCGTTCGTTTTGTAATGCAGTGATATGATTTTTACATAGATTTAAATGTTTAGGATTATAACAACATGAATGGTATCTATGGAGTTGAAAGTATTTCACATCTTTTATTTCAGGAAAATAGCATTGTAATAGTTTTCTAACTTCCTTTTTTGATAATTCTTTCTTCTGACTTAATTCTTCGATTTCTTCACGCGTTAAAGGTGGCGGTTGGTTCGCGCCAACGCGAAGCTCTTGTTGCATACCGATCGGTTTGACATAAACATGAGCTTGACGACACATGAAACAATCCGCTTCGGGATCACGCTCCGGTTCCTTTTCAAAAGGAACAGATGATCCCAGTCCACGAGGTGTAGTACTGGTGGGATATGTACGATAACGAAGAGTTGTCGGTAACGCCTAATTTGAAGCATTAGAAAATCTGTTTGTCCTTTACTTTTCATTACTTACTGGCATCGTCCAAAATCTTCTCTGTCTAGAAACGCTCTGACTAACAACAAACTAAAAAGTGCGTTTTGAAGCTTCGCACATATAAAGGTAGAAATAATAAACAGACACTTAACGAATAAAATGTGATGCGCACGAATCGTTTCGAAGGCGTCCGATCGCATAATCATCGAGCAACTTTTCTATTTGCATTGACGACGAAAAAAAGCTAGTGATTGTTTTCTTTGGATGTGTACTGCTGTTTTTTTTTTCGTTCTACTATGGCATTCTAAAGAAAATAACAAAATCTGAATGATTTACAATCATTAAAATACAATTGTCTTTACGTCTTCCGTTAAATAAACTTATTCTTTGGCTGACAACTATTTTTGTAAAACTATTCCTGCACTTCCAACTTTAGGAACTTTGTCTTCCATTCAATCTTTTGCCGAGGTCATGTTTAGTGGGATTGGGAATGAAGTTGCTCGCAATGGAGATCAAATTGTGGGATGTTTGTTTAAATAAAAACTTTCGTATTCTCCATTCAATCAATGGTTAACTTATTTTGACTGAAAATATTCTTCAGTTGTTTGCTATTCGCGATAATTCGATCGCGGAGACGTCGAAATCTTTGTAAAACGTATTCGTACTGGTGACTTCTCTGGCTCATAGGCGTCCATGTGCGCCTTCAGCGCCAACCACCAGGTATGAATCCATTGATCGAGTACAGATAGTTTGGCGACGTATAACGTCTGAAACATTTTGGAAATTATTATCTCCATTAGATCTTGGAAAAGGATTGATTGTATCGTCTTTATTGCAAAAGCGAGTTTTCATTAGAGTAGAAGTATTCGTCCTAGAACAAATGGAATGGTGCTATTGACTGTTTCGTAGGAAGTCATTCTATGTACGGGTCACATTGCACCTTTCAGAGAACGAATGACAATGGGTGAAGCTCCACTTCTAAAATGTGGCGAAATAGAACGGGAAAAAATTTCTATCCCTTCTGCGTAGACAGATCTGATGAGAAAGAAATAAAAACATCGCATACGAATGAGCAGCAAGTAGAACCGCCTACATGATGAGAATTCACACAGATTATTGCCCCGATGAAACTGGAACCATGTATTTTTGATTGTGTTCATATCCAATAAATTTTATAGTAGAAAGAGTGACAGATAATAATTTCATGTTTTCACGGCCTCAGTGTGGTCTATCGAATGACGTATAAATATATGTAATCGGAACATCTCAAAGAAAAAGTGCTCCTCGTAAGCAGTCAGTCGGGTATATCAATATTACTCAGTACAAAAAAAGTTGTTTTACTTTGATCATAAGTGGAGATGAGCTCATTATTCATACGGTCTATGACCTTACTCTTTCGTCTTTATGAAGCATTTAAAAGACTAGGAATAGATGTAAGTGTATATAACTTCGAATGTCATGATTTTTCCTAACATAGACACGTACCAGCGAGGTGAAATATCATATTGTTTGCAACTCTGATTAATCGTCGCTAAAACACATCATGACTTTCAGGATTTCAGCGTGAATAACAAGAAGAACTTGGATAGGATGACTTTTTTTTTGGAATAAACAAATAATCGATGAAAATCACACAACTATCTATAATATAACTAATTACAGTCAAGTATCGTCGAACACTCCGATATATTTTTAACAGCTCTTATGAGTGTTTAGCAGATAAAATATAGACATATCTACTTTCGTTAACAGTATGAAGATCATCGGGCATTCATCGAGCCGGAACAAGAATAGAGGGAACCAAATCTGCTAATAGTATGAGTTTATGCACGATTTATTGAGAATAAGTAGAATTAGTAATAAACATTTGTTTTCCGTTTCTTCATTTGCTCATTATAATATATACCCCTTTTAGATATAAATAACAAAACGTCTTGATATTATTGCCTTCATTCACGAACGGCGCTGCTGTTTTCATAATTGCTCGAGAGAGAATGATGATAGATTTATAACCTCTAATGAATGACTCACTTCTGTCGTCTCTATTTCTCGTTTTTTATTGAAGTTCGAACTGAATAGGAGACACGGAAATAAAAAGTGCACTAATCTAAGAGAGATAGAGAATAACGCTATAAAGCACTTAGAGAAATAGACAACGAACAGCACATATATTAAACCGTATTCTACTTGGATTTAAGTGTTGAGGAAGGTCACATCATTGAACGAATCATTTTTTATGACAAGATCCAAAGTATGCTTAATCGAACAGTATGAGTTCTGATAAAATACAAATAAATTCTAAATGAATAAAAAAAAAAGAAAGAAAGAAAAACGTCCCTTTATTTCTTCTCTTGTTTTGCAATTCTTCTTTTCCCGTTTTTTTTTCTGTCTGCCTTCATCAATTCTTCGACATTTAGAAAAAAAGTATTCCAATAGCAAATCCAGTTAACTTGCGCAGCATTCAACGTTTCAATACTCATCGATTCGTTCTCTCTTGATTTGTTTTCTCTCACCACAATGATCTCAAAAGAACTATCTCGTTTGGGTAAGTTCAATCGATCATTAATCAATTTGACTTTTCTCGACTTTCGTCTAGCAACAATCGGCGTTTTCATGTCTTTTCTTATTCAATACATGGCTAGCGAGCGCCTACCGGCAAGTACATTAGAAATGAATGCTAATCACAAAGACAGTGATGCTATTGGTCGTTATCTTTGGTTTCGACCCACATTATACTCAGATTCAAATGAGAATATCTTCGAAGACGGCAATGGTTTAAGAGAAATGTCTCCATTATTATCTAAACTTGTTTCCATTTACAACGAACATGACCGTAACAATCGACCAGATTTGCTTTCATCGCCTGTTCGACGATCGAACTTCTGGAAACGCGCAAATTTCTGGCGTAAGCGCGCCAATTTCTGGCGACGAGATTTAAGTTCCCAACAAAACAAACAAGTGATGTAAAAGTTGAAAAATTAATAAATAAATAAATAAAAACTCGCATCGACGCTTTTCGTTAACATTCACATCATTCCATTTTCAATATCTCAAACAGTCATAATCAACAGACTTGTGTTATTACTGTTTCACGAGAATATTCAAGTACACAACAATACACACCCAATTTCACCTTATTTTCATCAGATTCAGACCGATCGGTGTCGACTGAGCGTTTAGTTCTCTGACAGTTAAGTCAAATTCAACTAATTCAAAATTCTTTTCAATTGTTTCAATTACGGCAACTTTAAAAAATACATTGGTGTCAGATTATTAGCAAAGGATATAATAACATATTATTTGACACCTAAGCAAATTTTGATTAGCATGATATTATAACAGAAAATCACGCTTTCGGGACGTTTTGCAGTAATCATATGCTCGATCGATAGACCAATCGCATGTTATTGAACTCTTTGTTCACTTCTCGTCTTGAAAAGCAATCGATCATTGAAGTTATTGAGTAGAACGGTTTTGTATTTTGTAGATCAAACACTTAGACAAGGTTGAGATCATGACGATCATTAAGCGAAATGTAAATAAAGGAAATACGCAGTATTTACGTTTTCTTTTTGGTCTAACGGATACTCGCAAATGCAGAAATTAACTTTCTACTGAAATCAATCTGTCACAAAAAGTTGTCTTGATATAAAGTCCATTTAACACCTGTATTGTTTGCATATAAAGAAATTTGTTCAGTGCGAAAACTATACGCAAGGTGGCTACGACTTTTCAACACTTTTTTTTTGTTTACGTACGACAATGAGAATACTTTCCAGGTTACTTATCAAGTTTGAATTATAACGTTTGAGTTATTCAAAAAACTATTTGCACTCGAATAGGAGAATAGCTTAACGGATTTCCTAGACAGTTTTCTTTATCGCTTAATTTGTTCACATAGAAATGAACAATTTCAAACGAGGGATCGCTCTGTCAGCATTGCTGATTAGTAACATATTTGTTTAGTTTTGTTTTACAACATATAAATGACTATTTCTTGATATTTGTCTGGATATGTCTGATGGTACATAATTATTTATAATTTAAATTACAAAAATAACTCACAGTTAAAGATGGCTGAGTATGTATTTACGTTCATTTGATCTCAGAATGTCATTCCTCTAATTATGCGCAACAGACGGCACTCATAATCGATAGTGTCATTATCTTTTGATTTATCATTGTTCGTGAGCAAAGTGGATATCAATAACGGTTTGATTTCGAAAGAAATGTTGATTATACTTTTCCGTTCCCGAGAAAGGCTTTCACTGTTTTAATGTAGATTAAATGGAAAAACAAGAAACAATGCTAATGACATACAACATCTAGAATTTGATCTATACAAGACTATACATGATTTATTCTAGGTTAAATATGTTGACAGTTGACAAAACCGTCTCGAGTGAAAACTTATTTGACAACGCTCGTCGAATGCCGTGTTTGCGTTGAATTTTTACGTGTACTCGACGTTGGTGATAGCGGTACGACTCGAGCAGCTTTTCGTAATAGATGCCAACAGGCAGCTCGTTGTCCACCATTAATAACTTCACACCAATGTATGATTTCACTATGTTGTGCAATATTTGCACTGCCGATAGGTGTTGTATTTTCGAAACGTAAGAACCCTAATGGTTCGTCGGGAGCGATGAGATCGTGGTGATAAACACCGATTTCAAGACACGATTCATTTAAGGAGATACCGGGAACATTGAATGAGATTTCTTCATTCCATTTCGGATTTAAAGTATTCCGTTTGACACTGGTTTTCTTTCGTTTAACTTTATCTGTCTGACCTAGTTGAAGTGTCAGACGAACGACCGGATCTAGAAAGACAAAACTTTTTGTTGTGGAAATTCTATAGGGAAGAAAAACAACGGTTAAACACTCGATCAAACCTGCTTCAATATGCATTGAAAGCGCTTTGAGATTTCGTGCTTCAATAATTCCAACATTGAGTCGTTCAGCTTGCGCCAAATACGTTAATGAAACGAGTAATTCCCCAAGATACTCATCTTCCTTGAAAGTAGAAAAACGCAACGGATAGAAGCATGAATGACATAAGAAGAAATCAAATTTCCTCCAGATAGACATGTATAGATACGTATAAAACACGGTTGTGTTCAGCTATGATTAGTAATTTTCTTTTGATATATTTAGAAGGTAACAAAATCATTTTCTCATACCGCTCGTTGTTTATTTATGGTACACCAGAGGTCACAACCATGAATGGTTTGGGGTGTTAGACGCACTTGTGCTTCTCCAATGCATTCCGGTCGACTTGAGTGTGCGTAATTATAAATATAGAAGAAGAGCGTTTTGTTTGTTTTAAAGACAGTTTCATTTGCGACGCCGAATTTGAAATATTCGTTCCAAATCGGATTGATCGTTTGAGGTTGTACAGATGTCTGACGGAGTTTTTGATCAACCGGCGGACGTAGATAGAGTTTCACATAGGGATTAACAAATTCGGCATCATCAAACGGCAAATATTGTGCTGTGAATATGAACGTAGAATGAAAAGAAAAAGAGCCTGGATTTACTTTTACCTTCAATAATATTAACGAGAAGATCGTTTCGATGATCATCAAATTGAATACGAATATGTAATCGATGTAGATCTTCTTCAACTATCGACAGGTCTTCATTGGTTCGATCAGTAAAAGCAGCCAGTGCGGAAGTGGCATTTATGCTCTTGCAAGTACTATTTCCAGAGCATGGCGTGTCCACAAAGTAAAGATTAGGCATAATTGCACCCAAAGCGCCACGTAAACTTTTGTGTTTCATAAGACGAGAAGTTGATTGGAGGGAAATTGGTGGTGACAGCAGACTTTGCTCTGACGGTGGCATCGAAGCTCGGGTTATACTGCTAGATTGTTTGCTTAACGTTTTATATTTACACGATGATGGCGAACGACTTGGAGAATGAGATGGATTCATAGTGGAACTTTGTATTGAATCAGCTTTGGTTAACTGTCGTTTTAATGATGTTCCTTGCTGTTGTGCTAGGTCTTCAACGATCGTATTTGTCGCTGTAATCGAATTGATTGACGCTGGCTCAACAGATGATATTGATTGTTCAATAACATCGGTTGTTCGTGGAAATAATTCGAGTCGAACATTCTTCCCATTAGCTGTATTCGCTTGACAAGCAAGTTCGATCATTCGTTGATCAACGACACCTGCAGTTGATAGTCGTGGCGCTTTCGAACTACGTCGACTCGAATAATGTGCTGTGATAGCTTGCGTATCTGTGTCGTCATAAGAATGAGACAATCGACCACCTTCACCTTTCTTATGTAGAAGTACACTGTCAGAAGCAACGGATGGACGACCCGACTGATTTGAACTAATCGATAAACGAGATAGTTTCTCCGATAGGATTGATAGACGACCGCCGGATGCGACTGATGTTCGAGCCGACTGTGTTGAAGATGCGTCCTGTGTTATAACAGGTGGTTGAGGAATACGATGAACAATGGGTGCGTAGATCTACATCAATAGAATCAAAGAAACAACATTATATCTATTTTTAGAACGAAAATCAGTTCATCATCAAAATTTCGATTAGCAACTTTTTTTTGTTTTAAATGAAGGAAATGAGAAACTTGGTCGAAGACCTTTTCAAATTATACACGCGTGCTCAACTAATCTAAGTTGATTGAATATACGCAGGAAACGAGCTGTGTTATAAATTTAAGTCTAAGAAAATAATTTACTCACGAGATGTTGTGGCGGTTTGAAATATGTTTTAGCATCAATATTGTTTATGGCAGCATAATGTCGAGTCGATCGGCTGAAATATCGATGACTCGATGATGGAACGCAACATTTACAGAAGATAATCGTCGCAATAAGAATGAGAATTATGACAGACACAGCACCAATTCCAATGCCAATAAATAAATCATAACTTTTCGTAAGCATATTAGCATTGCTGTTCTTATTTGTTACAATAAAAAATAACTGAAGTGTGAGTCAGACAAAAATAATTATACAAATATTAGTTAGCAACCTCTGACAACGTCATGTAAGCCAGTAGAGTCTTGTAATCGTGCGACGTGGTTCAAAGCGCGCATCTTCTTAATGATCTTCCTTGAAACTTCCCTCTTATCGATAATGATGTCTCTAAATCTTTACTGTTAGTGTTACTGTAGATAAAAGAAACTAGGAAAGAAGAAAAGAAAAGAAGACAACAGATAGAGAGAGAGAGAGGAGTGAAGAAATATAGACTATTAAGAACATCATCTATCTCAGAAATAACAATGAATGACGGATTTTGTATTCATATACTTTTTTTTCTCTCTCATCGACTGACATGCAGGCATACATGGGAATCTAACCGTTAGCGAAAAAAAAAAAGAAGAAGTACATTTTGACGATGATTACCTTCGATAGGACAAACTAACGATTACCTGTCAGAGTCTTTGACATCAAGATCAAAATATTGCTCCTCTTTCGTTGACTTTATTCGGCTAAACTCTGATCGAATGTAATCTTGCAGCTAAATGAGACACGCAATTGAAATTTTTCTTGTGTTGCTCTTTTTCCTAACGATATTAAGCTAGTGATGCGAGAGAACAAATGAAATCTTCTTTCTTTTGTGATGATTATAGAGCTGTTTACACAAAAAAGTCTCGGATAAATGAGAAGAATGACGAGTGCCGAAAGGGAAATCTCTTTTTCATCTAGACATGTTCAAACAATGAAAACAAACTTTGACAATCGTCGAAGCCCGTACTCTGATACGAGAAATATAACAATTATCATCTTGTGTCACTTCTGTCTGTTCATAAAATGATGAGAAGTTGAAAAATAGAAATCTTCCATTTTTCTTCTTTTGCTTCTTTCACTAAGTAATATTAAAAAACGCTTTACGCACGGAGAAAAAAGAAAACCGTGATCCTGTCAGGCTATATCATTCATCGAACAACCGAAAGCGGATAATGTCTACGATTAAAAAAAATATG